CTCCCCCTCTTTAAAGGGAATGAGGTGAGGTATAAGGGGATATTGGACAGCCTCATTGTTTCCATGTTAAGCAAACTCTTGCTTAACCCAGGACTCTGACCTGGACAGGTGAGTCATACTCCATTGATGCAAGAGGAGGGGACAGAGAAACACACACTTTTAGAGGTGGACCCTGCACTTTTCTGACCTTGGAGTGGTGGCATCACAGACCTTCCTGATCTCAGGACCTAGCTCCTGCTCTGCTGGGTCATCTGACACTGAGAATGGGTCTTCATTCCAGCCTGAGACTTCCTGGTGGACAGGCATGAAGTACTTTACACAGAGTCCTCACACTTTGAAGGAGGTGTTATCATCCACCCCCATTTTCTAGATGGAGAGAGTGAAGCCCAGAGAAGCTGAGAGTCTCACCTAAGGACATACAATGGGTTAGAGATAAATTTGTTCTATGCTAACTAATAGCCATATGTGGCCTTTAAACACTTGTGGTGTGACCAATGGAACTTTTTGGTTTTGTTTCATTTTTTTGTATTTTGTTTTGTTTTATTCTGGTCTGTTCTGTTTTGAGACAGGGTCAGTCAGGCAGTGTAGTTCATTCTGGCCTTGAACTGGTGGTGATCCAATGCCCTCACTCTCCCAAGTGCTGGGATTACAGGTAGGCACACCATGGCCAGCTCAATCAAATTTTAACTTTAATTTAATTTTATTATTAAAAATTGATACACAGGGCCCGGACTTTTGCTCAGTGGTTTTGCTGCCTGTTGCACAACCTCAAGGGCCTGAGTTCGATCCCTAGTACCAAAAAAATAAAAACCAAAAAAACTTGATACAGAATTCATCTATTGGAAAACTTTTTTGTAGGTTTGGAAATGATTTAGGTATGTGGATTATCTTTTTCAGTGGCAAAGTTCATAAAAAAATCTAGATCCAAATCTCAGATTTGTGAAGAAACTGTAGGGTTCCTATGGAAAATATGCTATAATTGCAAAAATACACAGCAAATTTCAAACACTTCATTTTTTTAAAGGGCAAAATAAAAAAGGGGCAAGAATAAAAATAATGGAAGGGAGAAAATGTAAACAAGGCTTTTGTAGATAAAGATGGGAGGGGGTTGGGCCAAGGATTTAGCTCAGTGGTTCTGCCACATGCCTTGCAAGTGGAAGCTCCCAAGTTCAATCCATGGTACCAAAAAAAAAAAAAAAA